AATCATTTATTTACTTTAATTTGATCAGGGAGAGACAGAGTGAGCAAGCGAGAGAGAGAGAAAGAGAAAGCAAGCCACCAAATCCAGGACTCGAACTGTGGTCAGCCATGTGGGAGTCCAGCGTCCCCAACCACCATGCCACCTGCCGGCCCCATAAAATACCTCTTTTAAAAAAAGACAATACTGGGACCAGCAGTTAGTAATGGCTATGTCAACTAGACTCCCACATAGCTGACCGCAGTTCACGTCCCAGACCCGGTGGCTTAAAACTCATGCCGGGCACACGTGCATGCATGCCCAAAATCCCGAGAGGAGAACAGAGGAGAAGGGATTGCAGCATGGCCATCCCCTCTGGGGGGTGATTTCTCGCTTTCTGTCTCTCTGTTTGTCTGTCTGGCGAGCGCACGCGCCCTATAGCAAAAAGAAAAACCTCTCCAAAAAAAAAAAAGGGCAAAACAAAAAAAGAAAATACTAATAAAATATGACAACCATTAGCTAGAAAATATGAAGATATAACTATTGACAAATTTAGGGAATTCATATATACTTCACACTAAGCATTTTGTTCTTCAATTAAAACTATGAAAGGCTATAAAAAAGGCTAACTTAAACATCTTTTATGTAAGACTTATGAAGTCTTGAAAAACTGTATTTTAAGTCAATTATTTAACTGTTTTCTCAACAGTCACAGAGCAAGGAAGGTACAGAACAGTTAACATGAAAGCAAGAGGGGAATGGTATGTCTATTCAACTGAGGACAGCCACTGACATCTTCAATGCAACTGACTGAGAAGAGCGGCACTGCCATATGCTCTTTAAAGGGAAAGGTGGGGGGTGAGCAAGTGGTACAGTGGTTAAGGTGCTGGACTCCCACATGGCTGACCACAGGTGGAATCCTGGATCTGGTGGCTTGAAGCTTTCACTGGGCGCTTGTGTGTTCATGCCCAAGACCTCAGGAGGAAAATGGAGGAGAAGAAATTGCAGCATGGCCATCTTCCCTGAGGGGTGATTTTTCACTTTCTGTCTCTTTGTCTCCTCAGCGAACACCCTATAGCAAAATCCTAAAAAATTAAAAATTAAATAAAGAAAGAAGTAATGGGGAAGGTTGGGAGACTGTTCAGGAAGGGTTTAAGAATCACTTTCTGCTAAAATATTTAAAAGGATTTGAGTTTAACAAATATCACCTCTTTTGTACTTTAAAAACTAGTACATCCCCAAAGTATTAGAGGTCCAAATAAACTGTTTTCAGTAGTGTCCAATAAGGGACCAGAACTAGACAAAAGTCATTGTCAAGGGCAAATGACTGGCATTATGATACAGCATTGAGTCTCCAGTTCAATGACTATCAGAATCCCCTGGAAAGCTTGGTAAACCACAGGTTGCTAGGCCACCTCCAGAGATTCTGATTGAGTTGATCCAAATAAAATTTTTATGTTTCTAGCAAATACCCAGATGATACTAATACTGCTGGTCCAGTCAACATACTTTGAGAATCCCTGGTACAGAACACAGAGCAATAAATATACTGCAATAGTTTAACCTCAGCTTTCCATTATCACCCAAGAAGCTTGAACACCACACCTCCTTGTCTTGCTATACCCAAGATTAATTAATTCCGAATTTGGGAGCATGTGCCCTGCCATCAGTATTTTTTTTTTTTCTCTCTCTCTTCAAGTCTCTAGCTGATTCCAATGAGCTGGTAAGTTTGAGAACTATGGATGTGGGGGAAGACAGACTTTCTATCCATCACTGGCTGTTAAGAATATATATGAGGGGACAAGCAGATGGTGTATTGGTTACATCACTGGACTCCCATGTAGTTGACCTTGGTTCAAGTCTCAGACCCGGCAGCTTAAAACTCACATTGAGCACATGTGGATGAGTGTCCAAGATCCCCAGAGGATAATGGAGGAGAAAGGATTATAGTGTGGCCATCCCCCCTAGGGGCTGATTTCTTGCTTTCTGTCTCTATGTCTCTCTGGCAAGCGCACATGCCCTATAGCAAAAATCTCTCTCTCTTAAGGAAAAAAAAAGAATATATATGAGGAGGTAGATGCAGCAGCAATACAGTAAAATGGGAAGCTCTGCAAGAACCTTATCAGAAGGTTCTTGGTTTGCATTCAAAGATCTTCTTGCATCTGAATTCGTGAGCTCATGATCCTGGGGAGCTGAAGCTCGGGTTGATTCATAGTGTCAAGATTCTATTAAGGGTGCTACTTCTGAATCTCTCTCTCTGTCTCTCATTCTGCTTCTTGTTCATGAAAAAATAAAATAACTTTAAAAAAATTAATAAGGTTGGTCCAGGTGGTGTGGTGGTGAAGGCATCTGGATCCCACATGGCCAACTATGTGGTTTGAGTCTCAGACCTGCTGACTTGAAAAGCATGCCATGGTTGGGACCAGCAGGTGGCACAAGGGTTGCATTGCTGGACTCCCAAATAGTAGACCACGGTTCAAATTCCAAACCCAGCAGCTTAAAACTCATGCCAGGCACATGTGTATGTGTGCCCAAAATGCCAAGAGGCGAATGGAGGAGAAGGGACTGCAACACGGCCATCCCCCTGGGGAGTGATTTCTCGTTTTCTGTCTCTCTGCCTCTCTGGTAAGCAAACATGCCCTATAGCAATAATCTCTCTAAAAACAAAGTAAGAAGGAAAAGCATGCCAGGCATGTGTGTATTGGTGGCCAAAATCCTGAGAGGAGAGAGAGAGATGGAGGAAAAGGAATTGCAGTGTGACCATTCTCCATTGGAAAGTTCTTTCTCACTTTCCCTCTATCTCTTTCCAGTAAGTACATGTACCCTCTTGCAAATTAAAAAAATTAAAAAGTATGCAAAGGTTTTTCAAAAAGTTCATGAGAATCTTATATTGTGTAAAAATTATGCATGGATTTGCAAAAAATTTTACACTAAACTTGTATTTTAGTTCCATTTTCTTTCTTTCTTTCGGCACATGTGTATGTGTGCCCAAAATGCCAAGAGGCGAATGGAGGAGAAGGGACTGCAACACGGCCATCCCCCTGGGGAGTGATTTCTCGTTTTCTGTCTCTCTGCCTCTCTGGTAAGCAAACATGCCCTATAGCAATAATCTCTCTAAAAACAAAGTAAGAAGGAAAAGCATGCCAGGCATGTGTGTATTGGTGGCCAAAATCCTGAGAGGAGAGAGAGAGATGGAGGAAAAGGAATTGCAGTGTGACCATTCTCCATTGGAAAGTTCTTTCTCACTTTCCCTCTATCTCTTTCCAGTAAGTACATGTACCCTCTTGCAAATTAAAAAAATTAAAAAGTATGCAAAGGTTTTTCAAAAAGTTCATGAGAATCTTATATTGTGTAAAAATTATGCATGGATTTGCAAAAAATTTTACACTAAACTTGTATTTTAGTTCCATTTTCTTTCTTTCTTTCTTTTTTTTTTTTTTTTGAGAGGTTTTTGCTATAGGTTGCATGTGCTCGCCAGAAAGACAGAGAAACAGAAAGCAAGAAATCACCCCCTGGGAGGGATGGCCATGCTGAAATCTCTTCTCCTCCATTCTCCTCTCGGGATCTTGGGCACACATGCACATGCTCCTGGTGTGAGTTTAAGCCACTGGGCCCAGGAATCGAACCATGGTCAACTACATGGGAGTCCAGCGACGTAGCCATTATGCCACCTGCTGGTCCCTAGTTCCATTTTCTACAACATAAGTCCCCTTATGTCGTAAACCACTGAGCATAATCACTGGTGGAGCCTCAATAAATGATTATTCTCTCCTTCCCTCACTTTCTTCAAAATGTATTTCTGTCAGAATACATATGCACAGCTTTTTAAATAAACTGAGTACTATATTTGTGGATTACTAGTTAAAAGGGGCACATACAAATTTAAGTCACACATTTTTCTACATTTTATGTGGGAGATAATGTTATTGATAAATCTGGAGATCTGCAAAGGTTATATATATTAAAAGTGTATTTTATAACTAAGTGTACTTTCATCGGTATAATTTGGAAGTCCTTTCATCCAAATTCATCCAAAAGGTGGGGAAAATGTATTTAACCATAAGGAAAAAGAGAAGGTGAGAGAAAATTAAATTTGTCTAGAGAAGTGGGTTTTGAAGTATGGTCCTTGGACTGGCAGCATCAGCATCACTTGAGAAATTATTAGAAATATAAATTCTTGGGCCAGTCCCACCCAGTGGTGGCTAACACTATATGCCATGAGCCAGCTCCCACATGGCTGACTGTGGTTCAAATCACAGCCCAGTTGCTTGAAATAAATGACAGACACATGCACCCATTGACGGGATCCTGACAGAATGGAAAAATGAAGGAGAAAAGGACTGCAATGTTACTAGGGCTTGTTGGGGGATTCTCTCTCTTTCTCTCTCATGTACCCTCTGACATATGGAAAGTAATAATAATATTAAAAGTTAAAATAGAAGTATAAATTCCCAAACTCCCATCCCAGACCTAATGATTCTAAAACACTTGAGAAGAAACCCAGGAATCTGCAATGAAACAAGTTTTCCAGGTGACTTCATACATATTCAAGTTTGAGAACCACTAATGTGAAGTATTTAATATTTCCATGCATTATAAGAAGAACCAAGGAATAAAAAGCACTACTAATCTGACATGCATATCTTCAGTTACTCCACAGACCCACGATGCTCTAATAATAGCTATGCTCTTTTAAACTCTACCCAAAGCTTATTATCATTGTACCATTAGAGCTCAATAGTGAAAGTAAAATTGGTGAGGATATATACACACACACACACAGAGATATATATGTGTGTATATATATACACACACACACACACACACACACACACACACATACATATATATATCTGGCAGAGTTTATTCCATACATTTTCCACTAACAACTTTAATCTATTTCTGTTTTCTACTCAAGATAGAATTGAGACTATGCAACTTGATATATCAGAATAAGAAGCAGGAAAAGAAAAACCACTCTGTGAATCTGGAAGGGGGTAAGTATTCCCATGTCCAACACTAACCTTGAATTGTCCTCTTGAAGAACGCCTTGCAGGCTTCACACGATGCTACCCCATAGTGGTACCCAGAAGCGATGTCGCCACACACTAAACACAGTCTCTTGGGCATCGAGTTGAGCATGTATTCACACTTTGTCTGGGGATCTTCAACAATAGTGCTGGAGCAATCGTCATACAGTTTCCTGACAGGCCCACTACCTCCCAGGATAGGTGCAGAAGGGTAGAGAGGTGGCGAGTCAAGTCCGTTCTGATGGCCATTCATGGTTGAACTGTAGCTCCCACTGGCGTCTGAAGACCCACCAGGGCTGTGGTGGTTGACGCTGTCCGTCAGGGAGGCTGGGCTGGAGGGTTCCGTCTTGATGAAGGACGAACAGCTGGAATCAATGTGTCGATCTTTGTTTGACATTCTGCAGAGAAGCCTGCGATGTAGGGAGATACAAAGAAAGAGAAAGACAGTGAAAAAAAAAATAGAGAAAGGGAAGGATGACAGGAGCAATAAATAAATAAATAAATAAATAAATAAATAAAAGAAGAGGAGGAAGAAGAATTCATGTTAAAGACTTTGCTCTTTCGGAGTGCTTCCTAAGGGCTAGGGACTACACATCATTCATTCGCTAGTCAATATCTCTTGTTCTACAAGAAGGTCATCAGCATAAGGCCATGACAGGGTTACATCAAAGTGCCCAGACAGCCCATAAACAAAAGCTCTAAAGGGCTCAATTGCTTTTATTTTACCTTTCTCTTGGAGAACCACTGTCGATATCTAAATTAACTCTCTGGATTCTAAATTTATCAATGGGAGAGGTGGCGATTCGCAAAGTCTATTACTATTTCTAACATTGCAGGTCTCCTCATCCTACCTTTCTTTCCATGTTCCGATGCTGCAATCATTTTATTATGAGTAGAATCAAACTTTAATTTTCAAGACTGAACAGATGATCCTCCGCTCTGTAATTACTGTTTGTCAGCATGCTTTCATAAGCATAACCGTCTTTTATTGATCTGACTGAAACACGTAGGGGATATATCCTCAATTACTTTGTTTCTTTATTTAAATTGCTCTATTTCATTACCATTTAGCAATATAGAAAGATATCTAGTATTAAATTCTAACCAATATTTAAGGGTTATTTCCTAGAGCCCACAAAACGCAGTGAATAATCACCAGCACTGATTACTAAGTACGTGCATGTGTTAGTGCTTCTGTGTGTTTGGGTGGGATTTCTCATCATTCAAGAAAAGAACCAGTAAACGCCCTTGGAGCCTTCAGTATACCCATGAGCCCATAAGTCTGATCCTTCACATGGAGTAAAGTAGGAATGTATCAAATTGAAAAAAAAAAATAATAAGACCTAAAAACATGTCTGCCATTCTTTTTGTCTTTTAACATCATACCTCCTAAAAGGAGCATCTCATCTGACAAACTATTTCTCTTGTCTAGAAGAAACATGTTGCCCCTTTTCTTTGCGAGGTCCATAAGTGATTGAATTTCTGAAAAGGTAATTAGATGAAAAGATATAATTGGCCCTATTTTCTTTCTGCTTAGCCATAGTGCAAAACCCCTTTTAGCGAAGTCTCAAAGAACCTTCTGAGAGCCCACTATAGAAAGAAGAGGTGACAGTTTGAGAGAGGGACTTAGATAATTACTTCCCAGTGGAAAGTTGATTTATGAGAATCCAACTGGGTAATGGTCACTCACTAGGATTTGGGGGAGTAGTCCCACAGTATAAGCAAAGGGTTACGATGATCTATTTCACTATAAATCTAATGATATTTTGTCACTGCACAAATTCCATAATCTTCCAGGTCCCCTTTCCCCGTTTGTTCTATCTCTTTCAAATAGAAGCAAAGATGGAATTTCCTACCAGGAATGTTCACTTCACTGTTCCACGAAAGCAGCCTCAAGAGTGAAGCAGTAAGTCAAGAATTTGCCTGTGAACAAATATATTTCACTGTGGAAATTTTGCTCTGCTTTCTAAAATCAAGCCACATCAGGATGTGGAGAAAGCAAACAGAAAGGAGAAAGTCACCAAAATATCTTCTAGCTTCGCCCACCCACTTGGGCTGTCCTTTCCTCAAGAACTAGCGAAAGAAAAAAAATAGCCCCCTTGCAGCCGGCACGACAGGACAGCGTCCTCTTCCTTCTGCATCTGCGCCTTGTAGCCGTCACTGTTAATGAGCGTTGTAATTAATAGATCGCTCTCCTTGTCTCCCGGCTTGCACTCTGGGCTAAGCGCTTTCCTCAAGTCAACGTTTGAAAGAAAGCGGGTCGGCACTGACTTACAGCAGCCCTGCGAATTCCTTCTAATTTAGAGCACTTATACCACCACTTCACTTATTACCTTATAATTACTGGACTGCTCGCACATACATTATGATCTTAGACTAGAGTTAGAAGTTATTAGGGTACTAAACCATGGTCGCTCCCCTTTCCTCTCTCAGGCTCTGAATTTCTCACAGCTATGACAATTAACTCTTTCACCATCTGCCTGCAAGGCACTGTCATTTTCTTTTATTACATTTTTTTTTTTCCAGAGGAGAGGGTTTCTGGCTGCCAGATCACAACCCCATTTTCTCTAAACGTTCATCTCTCTCTCCTCTTCTTCCCCTGCTCCTTCTCTCTTTCTTTCTCTCCTTGTATTCTCACGGTTACTTTCTGTCCAATTTTCTTTCCCTCAGGTGTTTATTTATTTATTTTTTCATGATGTACTATAGTTACAGTACTCTTCATTTAAGGAACAAGGCCAGAAATTACTCTCCCATTTATGGAATGGTTATTTGCTAAGTCATCAAATGTTTTTTTATGTCAAATAGATGTTCTTCAAGTCCCTGAAAAATGGGGAGTCTCCAGCCAGCGGTCTCTTCTGAAACCTCAATCCATAACTTCGCAAACACCTGGGTTAGAAGCAAGGAAATTCTGGAGACACAAGTGCCGGGGAAGTCCTTGGGACAGTGGCAGTAACTTCCTCTAAGTGAAGTTTGGCCACTCTAGCTGTACATGAAAGTGAACACACTGGATTTGTGCCGGAGATTGTACAGGCTCCTTTTCTGACATAAACTGTTTCCTTAATGAATACCTTTTGCTCAGTAGAAATAGAGTAAGAATTGTCATTTATCAAGTGCTTATTATGTGCCAGGGACTGAGCTGGGCAATTTACAAATATGACCTCATTTACTCTCTAAGACAACCTTGGGGGACCTAAAGAGGAAGGTATTGCTCTTTAGGAAACTGAGTCTCAGATGTTCCTAAATTTGTTGAAGGTCATACAAGTAGAAAGTGGTAAAATCTGGATTTGAACTCAGGTCACCTCCAAAATCCAGAGCATGGATGTCTTAAAGCCAAAGAGAGTTTTTAATGGTGGTCACACATTTAAAAAAAAAAAATAGCAAGCAAGCAGGGGTAGAGGTGGCACACAGAGATCTATTGCTTTTATTTCTTGGCAATTCCATCCACGGCTCACCCCCAAGTAGAAAGAGACTGAAAAGGCCCCAACACTGGTGCAGGGCTGCCCTGTGGAGTCGCCCTCCCCAGGGCTTGGCAAGTCTCTAAAAGAACACACTTGTCTTCTAATTACTACTTAGATCATTACACTGAACAGTTCCTAGACACCATTACATTATAACCTAAAACTACAGCGAGCCTTAATTCTCTCCCTCTCTGTCTCTGAAATTCTACAGCTCTATTATTCAAGCCTGAAATATTCACAACTATCTATAAATTCAATTGTCAGCTGGTGGGTTTTATTCTAGACTTCACTTCAATCTAAAATTAGAGGCACTAAAATTCACATTAACTCTAAGAGGAATGTAGTGAATAAGACTTTATTTCAAAAGAACACCTTTTTGTCAGAAAGAGCCATTTTCAAGATGATGGCTTTATCTGTAGCCAAAGAGAATAAGCCCAATTCCACATTGTGCTGTTAATGCAGAAATTTTAGGTCACATTGGATTAATAAAAATCTAAATTTAGTTAAGAATTATGAATAGAAATAACATGGGTCGGGATATGTGGGAAATATTTATTTTAAAGCCTTAGTATGGCTACTTTTATTTTTTAAGAGAAATGATGAGAAGAACAAGGAAGGGAGGAAGGTAAATTACCTTTGCAAATACTCTGAGAAGAAACTAGAGGGGAAAATAACTATGTCAAGAATAACATTTAGCTTCTATATAAAAAGCTAAATTTGATAAATTTAGCAGCCTCCCTGAAGTTTCAGTGCTTTAAAAAGCATTTTCAACATAGTTTGAAATATATAGTCTCAAATAATTTTGATTATCATACTTCAGTCTCAGAACTTTTTTCCTAGCTTTGCCTAAGGAATGGCAAGGGTAAAATTTATCTTTGGTGTGAGTTACTAATGATCAGACAAATGAAACTTCTTAGCTGCTTGTATATCTTTTTTTTTTTTTTTTTTTTTTGGAGAGGCTTTTGCTATAGGGCACGTGCGCTCACCAGACAGACAGAGAGAGACAGACAGAAAGCGAGAAATCACCCCCCAGGGGGGATGGCCACGCCGCAATCCCTTCTCCTCCATTCTCCTCTTGGGATCTTGGGCACACAAGCACACGCGCCCGGCGTGAGTTTTAAGCCACCGGGTCCGGGACGCGAACCGCGGTCGACTACGTGGGAGTCCAGCAACATAGTCATTACACTAACTGCTGGTCCCTAGCTGCTTGTATATCTAAAGAAATAATTTTTGAAAGTTCATAAACTATTGGTATATTTGTGCATATATATATATATATATAGAGAGAGAGAGAGAGAGAGAGAGAGATATGACTGGATAAGCAATTAAAGTTGCTGCTATAGAGCAAAACAAGAAATAGTCTAAGGTAATATTCCATTTCTATTAGAAACATCATGCTTAGTTGTTTTTAGGCTACCTAGATCCAGATAAATGTGTGATCTTGAATTAATTGCCAAGAGTTTGAATTTTTACACTCATGGGAAAATGTCAAGGGTGGTCTACAAGTCATGTTTTTATTTTAAAAAAAAAATTTTTAGACAGAGATTTTTGCTATAGAGTGCATGTATTTGCTGGAAAGACAGAGAGAAAGTGAGAAATTACCCCCCACGGTGCATGGCTACAGGTCAATACCTTCTCCTCCACTCTCCTCTTGGGATTTTGAGCACGGACGAACACGTGCCCAGCATGAGTTTTAAGCCACTGGGCCCAGGACTTGAACCACAGTTGACTACATAACCATTATATTATCTGCTGGTCCTGTCATATATATTTTTTAAGAATTACTCATTTATTATTATTATTTTAATTTGACCAGAAAGAGAGAGAGAGAGGGAGAAAGCAGAAAAATGAGAAAGCAAGCTACCAGGTCCAGGACTTGAACCACGATCAACCATATGGGAATCCAGCACTGTAACCACCACATTACCTGCCAGCTCCTATATATATAGGAG